CCCGGCCGGGCCCGAGCCCGCGGGGAGGGGCTGCGGCCGCCGCCGCCTCAGGAGCTCTGTGGGCACAGAAAAGGGGGTGACACCGGGCTGGGGGCCCCGGCGGGAGCGCGCACGGGGCTCCGCCACGGCGGCCACGCCGCCCCCGGCACCCGCCCTCACCTTCTTGCGCACGTAGAAGCCGAGCCCCAGCGCCACGAAGACCGAGCCCAAGACCAAGCCCCCGATGCCCGTCAGCATCTTGCTGCGGCCGGCGTCCGGCGCCATCTCTGGGGGGTCCGCAGGGCTCAGCGCCCCCAAAACCTCTCGCCGACACCCCCAGCCCCTCCCACCGCCCTCCCTGTGGCCCCCGGCCCGGCCGGGACCCCCTGAAACCTCCCCCCGATCCCTTTTGGGCCTCAACAGGAGCCACCAAAGCCCCTCCCGTCCCTCTCAGCAGCCCACAGCCCCCTCCCAGTTGCCCCCCAGCGCCCCTGGACCCCCAGACTCCCTCCCAGTCACTCCCAGCACCCCCAGACTCCCTCCCAGTCACACCCAGAATCCCCAAACTCCCTCCCAGTGCCCACCAGCGCTCCCAAACTCCCTCCTAGTCACACCCGGGACCCCCAAACTCCCTCCCAGTCACACCCAGCACCCCCAAACTCCCTCCCTGTCACACCCAGCACCTCCAAACTCCCTCCCAGTCACACCCAGCGCCCCCAAACTCCCTCCCAGTACCCACCAGCACCCCCCCAACCCCATCCCACCCTCCCCAGCACCCCCCAAACCCCTGCCCAGCCCTTGCCCAGCCCCCAGCCCCTCTCCCACTCCCAGCCCGCCTCTCTCCACCTCCCTCCCAGTGCCTCCCAGCACAGCCCAGCGCCTCTGCCAGCGCCCCCAGGGGCTCCCCCGTACCCCAGTGCCGCCTCAGCGGCTGCTCCAGGCTGACGTGCTCCACCTGGCAGCTGTAGCTCAGCCCGCGCCGGGGCGGCGTTTCCAGCAGCACCAGCAGCTGGTAGCTCCAGTCCCCGTTGGCCACCACGTCCGTGGCCACCACGTGCTCCGACAGCTCCTGCTGGCCCTGGAACCACCTCACCTGGATGGCAGCAGGGTAGAAATCCATCACGGAGCACAGCAGGCGGCCGGGGCCGGGCTGGGGGCTCGAGGCCGGCACCAGCGAGATGGACACGCTGGGGGGCACTGGCAGAGACAGAGAGAGAGAGAGAGAGAGAGAGCGGGGACACACTGGGATCAGCTGGGGGGCACTGGGAGAGACAGGGGAGGGACTGGGGTGGGCTGGGCTGGGGAGGGACTGGGAGGGACTGGGAGGGACTGGGATGTACTGAGATCGACTGGGGATGGCCTAGGAATGGACTGGGATGGACTGGGAGGGACTGGGAATGGACTGGGAGGGGCAGGGGTGGCACTGAGAGAGGTGAGAGGAGATTGGGGGGCACTGGGAAAGAGGGTGAAGGTCTGGGAGTGAATTGGGAATAGACTGGGAATGGATTTGGAGGGTCTGGATGAGACTTGGCAGGACTGGGATGGATTGGGAATGAATTGAGGTGGGCTGGGGAGGGACTGGGAATGGACTGGGAGGGACTGGGAATGAACTGGGAATGGATTGGGAAGGACTGGGCGGTGCTGGGAGGGACTGGGAGGGAGTGGGAATGGAATGGGGATGGACTGGGAGCAACTGGGACTGATTGGAAATGGACTGGGAAGGACTGAGAATGAACTGGGAGGGACTGGGAAGGGACTGGGGATGGAGTAGGACGGATTGGGGATGGACTGGTGTGGACTGGGATGAACTGGGAATGGATTGGGATGGACTGGTGTGGATTTGGAAGGTCTGGGAGAGGCGAATGTAGATGGGGGCACTGGGAGTGGGCATGGGGGTGTGGCGATGAACTGGGAATGAACTGGAAATCAACGAGGAATTAGTTTGGACGGAGTTGGAAGGACTGGGAATAGCATTGGGAGGGACTGGGATGGATTGGCAATATCCTGGGAGGCACTGGGAATAGACTGGGATAGACATGGGTGGTACTGAGAGAAGTGGGAGGGAATGGGTGGTACTGGGACAGAGGGTGGAGGTCTGGAAATAAACTGGGAATGAACTGGGAATAGACTGGGAATAGATTTGGACGGTGTGGGTTGGAATGGGAAGGACTGGGAATGGACTGGAGTGGACTGGGAGGGACTGGGACTTATTGGGGTGGCACTGAGGGAGATGGGAGGGAATGGGTGGAACTGGGAGAGAGGGTGGAAGTCTGAGAATGAACTGGGAATGAACTGGGAAGAGACTGGAAATGGACTGGGAGGGAGTGGGGAGGTATTTGGGATGGTCTTGGAGGGACTGGGATGGCACTGGGAGGGATTTTGGTGGCACTGGGAGGAACTGGGAATGAAGCGCGCGGCGCTGGGAGGCCGAGTCCAGCGCTGGGCACTCGGCGCTGCGGATCTGCCTGGCAACAGGTGAGTCATCAGTGATACGCGATCTGATTGGCTAAAAAGCGTCTGCTTCCCTCGTCGCTGAAATGATGGGGTGGCGGGGGGGCACTGGGAGGGACTGTCAGGCACTGGGAATGAACTGGGCGGGATGGGGAATGAACTGGGATGGACTGGGAAACGACTAGGAGCGACTGGGATGGACTGTCAGGAACTTGGATGGCACTGAGCGAGATGGGAGGAGATCTGAGAGTGAACTGGGAATCAACTGGGAATAGACTGGGAATTGAATTGGAGGCGGTGGGTGGGACTAGGATGGACTGGGAAGAACTGGGAGGGACTGGGATGGACTGAGACTGACCAGGAGGGACTTGGGAGGGAATGGGAATAGACGGTGACGAACTGGGAATGGACTTGAGGGATTGGGATGGAGTGAGAGAGACTGGGAGAGAGCTGGATAGACTGGGATGGAACGGGAATGGACTGGGAGGGTCTGGGAATATACTGGAAGGGACTGGTAGGGACTGGGATTGACTGGGATGGTCACTGGCAGGGCAGGGCCCGAGGGGACACGCTCTGCCCCGCGCTCACCTCGGCGCTCCACGCTGAAAGGGGCAACAATCGCGTAGTTGTGCCGGCAGAGCCAGTCCACCGCAGTCCGCATGCGCTCCATTAACGCCGGATCACTGTTCGAGTACTGGGCCTGTTTCTCCCCATCGGGGGTGAACCCCACGAAGTGCCCCACTTCGCTGTCGAACATCACGAAAAGCTCCCGGTTGTAGACGGCCCTCAGCACGTACCTCACCTTGTCCGTGCCGTTAATGAAGTGACACTCGAACTTTGCAAAGTACTGATACACCCCTGTGAGCGCAGCACACAGCTCAGCGGTGCCCCCCCAGCACCCCCAGCAGCACCCCCAGAGCTCCGGGCCCACCCCGGATCCCCACTCCGCACCCCCTGTGCCCCACGGCCGCCATGGGACCCTCCTGCCCGCGCTGCCGCTTCCTCTTTGCCGCCCTTCCCCCATTTCCCCTTCCTCATCCTCTCCCCTCCCACCTCCGCCCGCTCCCCAAATCACTTTTGGGCTCCCATTTCCCCATTTTCCCACCAATCCCCCAATCCCCAATCCCCCTCCCGCTCACCTTTGGGGTCCCCCCGCCCCATTTTCCCCCTTCCCCACCCTCTCCCACCCCTCCCTCCCCTCCCCCCACCTCTCAGCCCCTCCCGCTCTCCCTTTGGGGGGTCCCCTCCTCCTCCCCCTCCATTCCGGCCTCCCCCCTTCGCCCCCTTTTCCCCCTTCTCCCGCCCTGGCCCAGCGCCTCCCGCCCCCCGCTCACCCGAGAGCTCCGCGCCCGCACCCGGGGGGGCTCCCAGCACCCCCAGTGCCACCAGCAGGGCCCCGGCTGCCGCCCCGAGCCCCATGGCCAGCGACCGCCGCCCCGAACCAACCGCGCTCCACTGCGAGAACCAGCCCGGAGCGGCGCGGGGTCATGAGGGACGCGCTCCCTGATTGGGCGGGCGTGGTTTCTGGCAGTGCTTTCATTGGTTGGAGGTTTTTTTTGCCTGTCTTTAATTGGCCGAAGTGATTTTTGGGCTCTCTAATTGGCCGGTTCCGTCCGGGGTGCGAGTTTCAGACCCTCTACCCAGGAACTGATGACTCAATTTCCGATCTTTTTACTGATTCGCCAGAATTTCTTTGGGAGCTCAATTTTTTAACCCTCTACCCGCCAACACCCTCTACCCGGCCTCATTCAACTCCGCTCTCCCATTGGCTGAGGCGCTTTTTGGGGTGCTGCTCCCCCGTTCCCAGTGCCCCCAGTTCGGATCCGCGTTCCTGGGAGCAGCACCGACCCTGCCCGGTGTGCCCGGAGCGCCACGGACGGAGCGCGGAGCCTCCCCCGGCTGCTGCCGCTGCTGGCCCTGACACTGCCGCCGATTTTGGGGGCCCAAGGTGGGGTTTTGGGGGAGTCTCGGTTCTGGGAATCCCTGGAATTTTTTGTTCGGATCCCTTTGTCCCGCTCCGCTTTAAAACACATTTTTATAAACAATGGTGTAAAGGAAATTACTTACTACTAATTAAGTTATATTAAAGTTGTGTAAACCTAAATCCTATCAAAGAAATTTTTACTATAATAGCAACTTTTGTATTTATTACTTCTATAAAATTTGGAAAATATTATTTAAATTCAATCCGTTTCGGGTCGTCCTCCTCTGCCCGCTCGACTTCATCTGTCCGTCTTTTGCTTTGGGGTTCCTCCTCCTCCCTTCTCCTACATAATCCCAGCTCCTCCTCCTCCTCCTCCTCCTCCTCCCGCTCCCGCCGGGCCCAGCCCCCACTCTTTCTCCCCCTCCCTTTGCCCAAATCCGTCCCATCGCCCCCCGCGCCCCCAGACCCCTCCCCAGCGCCCCCCAACAAACGGCCCCGGGCCCAGCTGGGAAGCTTTATTGGGAGCGCTGGCAGCGGGCACTGGGCGGGGGCAGAGCGCCAGCGGCGCTGGGGGGGACACGGGACCCCCCCCAGAATCAGCGCAGCGGGGACGGAGCGGGGGGTCCCGGCCGGGCCCGAGCCCGCCGGGAGGGGCTGCGGCCGCCGCCGCCTCAGGAGCTCTGTGGGCACAGAAAAGGGGGTGACACCGGGCTGGGGGCCCCGGCGGGAGCGCGCACGGGGCTCCGCCACGGCGGCCACGCCGCCCCCGGCACCCGCCCTCACCTTCTTGCGCACGTAGAAGCCGAGCCCCAGCGCCACGAAGACCGAGCCCAAGACCAAGCCCCCGATGCCCGTCAGCATCTTGCTGCGGCCGGCGTCCGGCGCCATCTCTGGGGGGTCCGCAGGGCTCAGCGCCCCCAAAACCTCTCGCCGACACCCCCAGCCCCTCCCAGCGCCCTCCCTGTGGCCCCCGGCCCAGCCAGGACCCCCTGAAACCTCCCCCGATCCCTTTTGTGCCTCGACAGGAGCCACCAAAGCCCCTCCCGTCCCTCTCGGCATCCCACAGCCCCCTCCCAGTTGCCACCCAGCGCCCCAGCACCCCCAAACTCCCTCCCAGTCACACCCAGCACCCCCAATCTCCCTCCCAGTCACTCCCAGCACCCCCAAACCCCCTCCCAGTCACACCCAGTGCCCCCAAACTCCCTCCCCGTGCCCACCAGCACCCCCAAACTCCCTCCCAGTCACAACCAGCGCCCCCAAACTCCCTCCCAGCGCCCACCAGCACCCCCCCAGCCCCATCCTCCCACCCTCCCCAGCATCCCCCAAACCCCTGCCCAGCCCTTGCCCAGCCCCCAGCCCCTCTCCCACTCCCAGCCCGCCTCTCTCCACCTCCCTCCCAGTGCCTCCCAGCACAGCCCAGCGCCTCTGCCAGCGCCCCCAGGGGCTCCCCCGTACCCCAGTGCCGCCTCAGCGGCTGCTCCAGGCTGACGTGCTCCACCTGGCAGCTGTAGCTCAGCCCGCGCCGGGGCGGCGTTTCCAGCAGCACCAGCAGCTGGTAGCTCCAGTCCCCGTTGGCCACCACGTCGGTGGCCACCACGTGCTCCGACAGCTCCTGCTGGCCCTGGAACCACCTCACCTGGATGGCAGCGGGGTAGAAATCCATCACGGAGCACAGCAGGCGGCCGGGGCCGGGCTGGGAGCTCGAGGCCGGCACCAGCGAGATGGACACGCTGGGGGGCACTGGCAGAGACAGAGAGAGAGAGAGAGCGGGACACACTGGGATCAGCTGGGGGGCACTGGGAGAGACAGGGGAGGGCTGGGCTGGGGAGGGACTGAGAATGGACTCGAATGGACTGGGAGGGACTGGGATGGACTGGGAATGGACTGGGGGGGACTGGGATGGACTGGGATTGACTGGGAATGAAATAGGGGGGACTGGGATTCGACTGGGAGAGAATGGGAATGGAATCGGAATGGATTGGGAAGGGAATGGGATGAACGGGGAATGGAATGGGAGGGAGTGGTGTGGACTGGGAAGGTCTGGGAGAGGTGAGTGGGGATGGGGGGCACTGCAGGGAGGGTGCAGGTCTGGCAATGAACTGGGAATGAACAGGAAATCAACTGGGAATTAGCTTTGAGGGACTTGGAAGGACTGGGAATAGCATTGGGAGGGAGTGGGATGCATTGGCAATATACTGGGAGGCACTGGGAATAGACTGGGACAGACTTGGGTGGTACTGAGAGAAGTGGGAGCGCATGGGCGATACTGGGACAGAGGGTGGAGATCTGGAAATAAACTGGGAATGTACTGGGAATAGACTGGGAATTGATTTGGAGGGTCTGGATGAGACTGGGAGGAACTGGGAATGAACTGAGGTGGACTGGGAGGGACTAGGATTTATTGGGTTGCACTGAGAGAGATGGGAGGGAATGGAGGGAACTGGGAAAGAGGGGGGAGGTCTGAGAGTGAACTGGGAATGAACTGGGAAGAGACTGGAAACGGACTGGGAGGGACTGGAGAGGAATTGGAGATGGTCTGGGAGGGACTGGGATGGCACTGGGAGGGATTTTGGTGGCACTGGGAGGAACTGGGAATGAAGCGCGCGGCACTGGGAGGCCGAGTCCAGCGCGGGGCACTCGCGCTGCGGGTCTGCCTGGCAACAGGTGAGTCATCAGAGAAGAGCGATCTGATTGGCTGAGAAGCGTCGGCTTCACGCGTCGCTGAAATGATGGCGCGGGGGGGGGCAGTGGGAGGGACTGGGGCTGACTGGAAATGGACTGCGATCGAATGGAAACGGACTGTGATGGACTGGGATGCACTTGATGGACTGGGAATACACTTGGAGGGACTGGGAGGCACTGGGAATAAACTGGGAAGGATGGGAACGGGCTGAGATGAGTGGGATGGCACTGTGATAGCACAAGGCGGGACTGGGAATGAACTGGGATGGACTGAGAAAGGACTAGGAGCGTCTGGGAGCGACTGGGATGGACTGGGAATAGACTGGGAGGATGTGGGGTGGCGCTGAAAGAGGTGGGCGGGGATCGGGGTTACTTGGAGAGTGGGTGGGTGTCTGAGAGTGAACTGGGATTGAATTGGGAATAGACTGGGAGGGACTGGCATGGACGGGGAACGGATTGAGAATGGACTGGGATTGACTGTACTTGACTGGCAGGGGCTGGGAATGGGCTGGGAGGGACTGGATGGCACTGGGAATATTCTTGGAGGGACTGGGGTGGACTGTCAGGGGACTGGGAATATACTGGAAGGGACTGGGATTGACTGGGATGGTCACTGGCGGGGCAGGGCCCGAGGGGACACGCTCTGCCCCACGCTCACCTCGGCGCTCTGTGATGAACGGGGTGGACACCTCGTAGCTGACCCGACAGTACCTGTCCACCTCATTTCGTCTGTACTCCAGTTCAGCCGGGTCGCTGTTCAAGCGCTTGGCATTCACCTCCCCATAGGGGGTGAACCCCACGTAGTGCCCCACGTCGCTGTCGAACATCAGGTACTGCTGCCGGTTGTAGATGAACCTCACCACGTACCTCACCTTCTCTGTGCCGTTAATGAAGTAACACTCGCCCTTAAACATCTCCTGGAACACCCCTGTGAGTGCAGCACACAGCTCAGCGGTGCCCCCCAGCACCCGCAGCAGCACCCCCAGAGCTCCGGGCCCACCCCGGATCCCCACTCCGCACCCCCTGTGCCCCACGGCCGCCATGGGACCCTCCTGCCCGCGCTGCCGCTTCCTCTTTGCCGCCCTTCCCCCATTTCCCCTTCCTCATCCTCTCCCCTCCCACCTCCGCCCGCTCCCCAAATCACTTTTGGCCTCCCATTTCCCCATTTTCCCACCAATCCCCCAATCCCCAGCCCCCTCCCGCTCAGTTTTGTGGTCCCCCCTCCCCTTTTCCCCCTTCCCCACCCTCTCCCACCCCTCCCTCCCCTCCCCCACCCCTCAGCCCCTCCCGCTCTCCCTTTGGGGGGTCCCCTCCTCCTCCCCCTCCATTCCGGGCTCCCCCTTCGCCCCCTTTTCCCCCTTCTCCCCCCCTGGCCCAGCGCCTCCCGCCCCCCGCTCACCCGAGAGCTCCGCGCCCGCACCCGGGGGGGCTCCCAGCACCCCCAGTGCCACCAGCAGGGCCCCGGCTGCCGCCCCGAGCCCCATGGCCAGCGACCGCCGCCCCGAACCAACCGCGCTCCACTGCGAGACCCAGCCCGGAGCGGCGCGGGGTCATGAGGGACGCGCTCCCTGATTGGTCGGGCGTGGTTTTTGGCAGCGCTTTCATTGGTTGGGTTTTTTTTTGGCCTCTCTTTAATTGGCCGAAGTGATTTTTGCGCTCTCTAATTGGCCGGTGAGTTTGGAGCCCGATTTTCAGACCCTCTGCCCAGCACCTGATGACTCAATTTCCGATCCTTTTTCTCATTCGCCAGAATTTCTTAGCCAGCTCAATTTCTTAACCCTCTACGCGCCAACACCCTCTACCCGGCCTCATTCAACTCCGCTCTCCCATTGGCTGAGCGCTTTTTGGGGTGCTGCTCCCTCGTTCCCAGTGCCCCCAGTTCGGATCCGCGTTCCTGGGAGCAGCACCGACCCTGCCCGGTGTGCCCGGAGCGCCACGGACGGAGCGCGGAGCCTCCCCCGGCTGCTGCCGCTGTAGACCCTGACTGTCAATTCTGGAGGTCGAATGTGCGGTTTTGGGAGTGGTCTCACGGATTTGGGGTTCGCTGGAATTTGGGGAATTTTGGGAATTAAGGGGTCAAAGGGATCAATCCCAATTTTTTGCAATTTTTTGGGAGTTTTTGGCGTGATTTTTTTGGGTTGTTTTTCGGGATTTTGGCGGGGGGGTTCGTGGTTTTTCCCCCCTTTTTTCACGGTTTTGGGGGGTTGGGTGTGGTCGAATTCCTATTTTTCCATTATGTTGGGTCTCTGGAAGTGCCTAAATCCCCTTGTCCAAAGGATTTGGGGGGGTTTGGCGTGGCCAGACCCCCCTGTACCCAAAATTTGGGGTGTCTGGGAATGACTTAAACCCCCCTGTACACATAATTTTAGGAACTGAATGTTCCCAAATCCGCTTTTCCCGGGATTTTGGGACTCTGGAAGTGCCCAAACCCCGTCGTTCCTGGGATTTTGGGGATCTGGGAGTGCTCAAACCCCCCTGTACACAAAATTCGGGGGGGGCTGGGAGTGCCCAAACCCCCCTGTACACAAAATTTGGGGAACTGGGTTTTCTCACATCCTCTTTTCCAGGAGTTTTGGTGCTCTGGAAGCGCCTAAACCCCCTTTGTCCCCGGGATTTTGGGGATCTGGGAGCGCTCAAACCCCCTTGTACAGAAAATTTGGTGAAATGGAAGTGCCGAAATCGCTTTTTTTCCAGGATTTTTGGGTCTCTGGAAGTTTCTAAATCCCTTTTTTCCTGGATTTTTGGAGTGTGGGAATGCCTAAACCCCCCGTACCCACAATTTGGGGAACTCAAAGTTCCGAAATCCGCTTTTCCCGAGGATTTTGGGGGTCTGGATGTTCCTAAACCCCCTTGTCCCCGGGATTTTGGGGATCTGGGAGTGCTCAAACCCCCCTGTACCCAAAATTTGGGAACTGAAAGAGCCTAAATCCCCTTTTTTCCAAAATTGAGGGGCTCTGGATGTTCCTAAACCTCCTTGTCCCCGGGATTTTGGAGATCTGGGAGTGTTCAAACCCCCCTGTACTCAAATTTGGTGGGGCTGCGAGTGCCCAAACCCCCCAGTACCCAAAATTTGGGGAACTGAAAATTCCCAAATCCTCTTTTTCCAGGATTTTGTGAGTCTGGATGTTCCTAAACCCCCTTGTCCCCGGGATTTTGGGCAGCTGGGAGTGCTCAAACCCCCCTGTACACAAAATTTGGGGAACTGAAAATTCCCAATTCCTCTTTTCCCAGGATTTTGAGGCTCTGGATGTTCCTAAATCCCCTTGTTCACGGGATTTTGAGGGGGTAGCGATGCCTAAGATCCGCTGTACACAAAATTTTAAGAACTTAATATTCCCAAATCCTCTTTTTCCAGGGTTTTGGTGATCTGGATGTTCCTAAACCCCCTTGTCCCCGGGATTTTGGGAGGTTCCCAGCAGCACCAGGAGCAGGCAGGTCCAGAAGGGACTGGGATGGACTGGGAGTGGGAGGGGCGGGCTGTGCTGGGCCAGCCAATCAGAGCCACTCATTTCACATTTAACCCCGATTTTTCGGGCACTGAGCTCGTTCAGGATTTTCTGTTCGGATCGCTTTGTCCTGCTCCGCTTTAGAAAGAACATTTTATTAACAAGTGATCAAGGAAATTATTAACCATTATTTAATAACTTTTTAAAAATTATATAAATTTTAGAAACGTGGACGTTTTCATAAATTACCAAAAAAATTAATAAAATTAGAAATTATTAAGTATTTTCAATTATTTAAGAATTTTTAACAAGGGGCTGAGTTCCCCTCGCCGCTCACTGCGGGATGTGGGGAGGGGGCGATGCTGACGGGGCCGGGGGGGCTGCGGCTCCGGGAGGGCGGGGAAACCGCGGGGTTCTGGTGCTGCTGCTCCTCCTCGTCCTCCTCCCCCCGCTCCCCCCGGGCCCAGCCCCCACCCTTTCGCACCCTCCCTTTGCCCAAATCCGTCCCATCGCCCCCCGCCCCCCCAGACCCCTCCCCAGCGCCCCCCAACAAACGGCCCCGGGCCCAGCTGGGAAGCTTTATTGGGAGCGCTGGCAGCGGGCACCGGGCGGGGGCAGAGCGCCAGCGGCGCTGGGGGGGACACGGGACCCCCCCAGAATCAGCGCAGCGGGGACGGAGCGGGGGGTCCCGGCCGGGCCCGAGCCCGCGGGGAGGGGCTGCGGCCGCCGCCGCCTCAGGAGCTCTGTGGGCACAGAAAAGGGGGTGACACCGGGCCGGGGGCCCCGGCGGGAGCGCGCACGGGGCTCCGCCACGGCGGCCACGCCGCCCCCGGCACCCGCCCTCACCTTCTTGCGCACGTAGAAGCCGAGCCCCAGCGCCACGAAGACCGAGCCCAAGACCAAGCCCCCGATGCCCGTCAGCATCTTGCTGCGGCCGGCGTCCGGCGCCATCTCTGCGGGGTCCGCAGGGCTCAGCGCCCCCAAAACCTCTCGCCGACACCCCCAGCCCCTCCCAGCGCCCTCCCTCTGGCCCCCGGCCCAGCCGGGACCCCCTGAAACCTCCCCCCGATCCCTTTTGGGCCTCAACAGGAGCCACCAAAGCCCCTCCCGTCCCTCTCAGCACCCCACAGCCCCCTCCCAGTTGGCCCCCAGCGCCCCAGGACCCCCAAACTCCCTCCCAATCACACCCAGCGCCCCCAAACTCCCTCCCAGTCACACCCAGCACCCCCAAACTCCCTCCCAGTGCCCACCAGCACCCCCCCAACCCCATCCCACCCTCCCCAGCACCCCCCAAACCCCTGCCCAGCCCTTGCCTGACCCCCAGCCCCTCTCCCACTCCCAGCCCGCCTCTCTCCACCTCCCTCCCAGTGCCTCCCAGCACAGCCCAGCGCCTCTGCCAGCGCCCCCAGGGGCTCCCCCGTACCCCAGTGCCGCCTCAGCGGCTGCTCCAGGCTGACGTGCTCCACCTGGCAGCTGTAGCTCAGCCCGCGCCGGGGCGGCGTTTCCAGCAGCACCAGCAGCTGGTAGCTCCAGTCCCCGTTGGCCACCACGTCCGTGGCCACCACGTGCTCCGACAGCTCCTGCTGGCCCTGGAACCACCTCACCTGGATGGCAGCAGGGTAGAAATCCATCACGGAGCACAGCAGGCGGCCGGGGCCGGGCTGGGAGCTCGAGGCGGGCACCAGCGAGATGGACACGCTGGGGGGCACTGGCAGAGACAGAGAGAGAGAGAGAGAGCGGGGACACACTGGGATCAGCTGGGGGGCACTGGGAGAGAGAGGGGAGGGCTGGGCTGGGCTGGGGAGGGACTGGGAATGGACTGGGAGGGACTGGGAATGGACTGGGGGGGACTGGGAATGGAATGGGAATGGACTGGGATGGACTGGGGATGGAGTAGGATGGATTTGGGATGGACAGGTGTGGACTGGGATTAACTGGAAGTGGATTGGGAGGGACTGGTTTGGATTGGGAATGTCTGGGAGAGGTGAGTGGGGATGGGAGGCACTAGGAGGGAGTAAGGACTTCTGGCAATGAACTGGGATTGAACTGGAGATCAACTGGGACTTAGTTTTGAGAGAGTTGGAAGGACTGGGAATAGCATTGGGAGGGACTGGGAATATACTGGGAGGCACTGGGAATAGACTGGGACTGACTTGGGTGGTACTGAGAGAAGTGGGAGGGGATGGGGGTACTGGGAGAGAGGGTGGAGGTCTGGAAATAAACTGGGAATGAACTGGGAATAGACTGGGAATAGATTTGGAGGTTCTGGGTGGGACTGGGGAGGACTGGGAGGGACAAGGAATGGACTGTGAGGGACTGGGGATAGACTGGGAGAGAGGGTGGAGGTCTGAGAGTGAACTGGGAATGAACTGGGAACAGACTGGAAATGGACTGGGAGGGACTGGGGATGTATTGGGGGTGGTCTGGGAGGGACTGGGATGGCACTGGGAGGGATTTTGGTGGCACTGGGAGGAACTGGGAATGAAGTGCGCGGCACTGGGAGGCCGAGTCCAGCGCGGGGCACTCGGCGCTGCGGGTCTGCCTGGCAACAGGGGAGTCATCGCAGAGAAGCGATCCCATTGGCTGAGAAGCGTCAGCTTCACGCGTCGCTGAATTGCACGCGCGGGGGGGAACTGGGAGTGACTGGGGCTGACTGGAAATGGACTGGGAGTGACTGTGATGGACTTGATGGACTGGGAATACACTTGGATGGAATGGGAAGCACTGGGAATGAACTGGGAGGGATGGGAATGGGCTGGGAATGGGCTGAATATGAGTGGGATGGCACAGAGATGGCACAAGGCGGGACTGGGAATGAACTGGGATTGACTAGGAAAGGACTGGGAGCGACTGGGATGGACTGGGAATAGACTGGGAGGAACTGGGGTGGCACTGAGAGAGGTGGGTGTGGATGAGGGTTACTGAGAGAGTGGGAGGAGATCTGAGATTGAACTGGGAATGAACTCAGAATACACTGGGAATTGAGTTGTAGGGGGTGGGTGGGACTGGGATGGACTGGGAGGAACTGGGAAGGACTGGAGTGGCACCGAGAAAGATGGGAGGGGTACACAGCAAAGGGAGAGAGTGTGGAAGTCAGAGAAAGAACTGGGAATGAACTGGGAATGGACTGGGAGTGACTGGGACGAACTGGGAATGGACTGGAAGGGACTAGGAATGGTCTGGAGGGATTGGAATGGACTGAGAGGGACTGGGAGGGAGTGGGAGAGATTGGGATGGATTGGGAATGGACTGGGGTGGTCTTGGAGGGGAATGGGAATGGACTGCAAAGGTCTGGGTATATACCGGAAGGGACTGGTAGGGACTGGGATTGACTGGGATGGTCACTGGCAGGGCAGGGCCCGAGGGGACACGCTCTGCTCCGCGCTCACCTCGGCGCTCCGTGATGAACGGGCGGGACACCTCGTAGTTGTGCCGGCAGTACGTGTCCAGCGAAGTCCGTTGGTACTCCATTATGGCCGGGTCGCTGTTCCAGTGCTTGGCATTCCTCTCCCCAAAGGGGGTGAATCCCACGTAGTGCCCCACATCGCTGTCGAACATCGCCCACATCTGCCGGTTGTAGATGTACCTGTCCACAAACCTCACCTTCTCCGTGCCGTTAATGAAGTAACACTCGCTCTTAAACACGTGCTGGAACACCCCTGTGAGTGCAGCACACAGCTCAGCGGTGCACCCCCAGCACCCCCAGCAGCACCCCCAGAGCTCCGGGCCCACCCCGGATCCCCACTCCGCACCCCCTGTGCCCCACGGCCGCCATGGGACCCTCCTGCCCGCGCTGCCGCTTCCTCTTTGCCGCCCTTCCCCCATTTCCCCTTCCTCATCCTCTCCCCTCCCACCTCCGCCCGCTCCCCAAATCACTTTTGGGCTCCCATTTCCCCATTTTCCCACTAATCCCCCAATACCCACCCCCTCCCGCTCAGTTTTGGGGTCCCCCCTCCCCTTTTCCCCCCTTCCCCACCCTCTCCCACCCCTCCCTCTCCTCCCCCCACCCCTCAGCCCCTCCCGCTCTCCCTTTGGGGGGTCCCCTCCTCCTCCCCCTCCATTTCGGGCTCCCCCCTTCGCCCCCTTTTCCCCCTTCTCCCCCCCTGGCCCAGCGCCTCCCGCCCCCCGCTCACCCGAGAGCTCCGCGCCCGCACCCGGGGGGGCTCCCAGCACCCCCAGTGCCACCAGCAGGGCCCCGGCTGCCGCCCCGAGCCCCATGGCCAGCGACCGCCGCCCCGAACCAACCGCGCTCCACTGCGAGAACCAGCCCGGAGCGGCGCGGGGTCATGAGGGACGCGCTCCCTGATTGGTCGGGCGTGGTTTTTGGCAGCGCTTTCATTGGTTGTGGTTTTTTTTGGCCTCTCTTTAATTGGCCGAAGTGATTTTTGCGCTCTCTATTTGGCCGGTGAGTTTCGAGCCCGATTTCCAGACCCCCTACCCAGCAACTGATGACTCAATTTCCGCTCCTTTTGCTGATTGGCCAGAATATCGTAGGGAGCTCAATTCATTAACCCTCTACCCGCCAACACCCTCTACCCGGCCTCATTCAACTCCGCTCTCCCATTGGCTGAGCACTTTTTGGGGTGCTGCTCCCCCGTTCCCAGTGCCCCCAGTTCGGATCCGCGTTCCCGGGAGCAGCACCGACCCTGCCCGGTGTGCCCGGAGCGCCACGGACGGAGCGCGGAGCCTCCCCCGGCTGCTGCCGCTGTAGACCCTGACCCTCAATTCTGGGGGTCGAATGTGAGGTTTTGGGAGGGGTCTCACGGATTTGGGGTTCGCTGGAATTTGGGGAATTCAGGGAATTAAGGGGTCAAAGGGATCAATCCCAATTTTTTTCAAATTTTTGGGAGTTTTTGGGGTGATTTTTTTGGGTTATTTTTCGGGATTTTGGCGGGGGGGGGTTGGTGGTTTTTCGCCCTTTTTTCACGGTTTTGGGGTTTTGGGTGTGGCTGAATTCGTCTTTTTCCATGATTTTGGGGCTCTGGAATTGCCTAAATCCCCTTGCCCAAGGGATTTTCGGGGGTTGGGCGTGGCCAGACCCCCCTGTACCCAAAATTTGGGCTGTCTGGGAGTGCCTAAACCCCCCTGTACACATAATTTAAGGAACTGAATGCTCCCAAATCCTCTTTTCCGGGAGATTTTGGGGTCTGGAAGTGCCCAAACCCCCTTGTGCCCGGGATTTTAGTGGTCTGGGACTGCCCAAATCCCCCTGTACCTAAAATTTTGGGGAACTCAACGTTCCCAAATCCTCCTTTTTAGGATTTTGGGGATCTGGATGTTCGTAAACCCCCTTGTCCCTGGGATATATGGGATCTGGGAGTGCTCAAACCCCCCTGTACACAGAATTTGGGGAACTGGGTTTTCTCACATCCTCTTTGCCCCGAGTTTTGGTGCTCTGGAAGGGCCTAAACCCCCTTGTGCCCGGGATTTGGGGAGGGCTGGACGTGGCCAGACCCCCTTGTACACAAAATTTGCTGAAATGGAAGTGCCTAAATCCATTTTTTCCCAGGATTTTTGGGTCTCTGGAAGTGCCTAAATCCCTATTTTCCAGGATTTTTGGAGTCTGGGTGTGCCTAACCCCCTGTACCCACAATCTGGGGAACTCAATGTTCCCAAATCCGCTTTTCCCGGGGATTTTGGGGGTCTGGATGTTCCTAAACCCCCTTTCCCCCGGGATTTTGGGGATCTGGGAGTGCCCAAACCCCCCTGTACCCAAAACTGGGGAGGGGCTGGGAGTGTCAAAACGGCCCTGTACCAAAATTTGGGGAACTGAAAATTCCCAATTCCTCTTTTTCCAGGATTTTGTGAGTCTGGATGTTCCTAAACCCCCTTGTCACCGGGATTTTGGGGATCTGGGAGTGCCCAAACCCCCCTGTACCCAAAATCTGGGGAACTGAAAATTCCCAATTCCTCTTTTCCCAGGGTTTTGGGCGTCTCGATGTTCCTAAACCCCCTTGTCCCCGGGATTTTGGGGATCTGGGAGCGCCCAAACCCCCCTGTACACAAAATTTGGGGAACTGAAAATTCCCAATTCCTCTTTCTCCAGGATTTTGGGGCTCTGGATGTTCCTAAGCCCCCTTGTCCCCGGGATTTTGAGGGGGCAGGGGTGCCCAAAATCTCCCCGGACGGGACCTGGTGAATTCCACGGGCTGCACACCGAAGAATTTCGCTGTTCTACATTTTCTTTTCTCTCCCTCTCTCTTCTCCTTATTTTCCCTTTTTCCCCCCAATTCCTCCCCAGCGCGTTTTGCTGCGGTTGTTTCAATAAATTTGCATTTGTTTGGATTCTCACTGCAAACCCCCCCGGGCCGTGTCGGGTTTTGCGCTCTGAGATCCCCCAGGAACCGTCAGGGAACGCGGCCGTGAGGAGGGAGCGGGACAGAAAAACAATTGTATTAACGAGGGGGCAAGGGAAGTATTAAGCACTTTAAAAATTATTTAAAGATTATGTAAATGTTAATTATAGAGATGTTTCCATATATTAAATAAATTTTAGTAATACAAAATTAATATATTAGGCACTCCTATATTTAATTAAATCGAATTATTATTAAAAATTAATTAATTATATTTATTTAAAGTATTAAATTTTTTAGTTATGAAATTAAAATCACTATTAAAATTATTATGAATATAAAGATTAATATATCTAAAGTTCTTAAATAATAAAGTAATTTAGGAAAACTAGAATTAAATTATTATTATTACCATTACTATTGCTATTATATTGATATATTTTAAAAAGTGTTGTGAAAATAAAAATTTTCTTAGTTATTTTATATTAATTAGTGATTTTTAATAAGGGCTGAGCTCCCCCTCTCCCCTCACTGCGGGATGTGGGGAGGGGGCGATGCTGACGGGGCCGGGGAGGCTGCAGCTCTGGGGGGGGGGGCGGGGAAATCGCGGGGTTCTGGTGCTGCTGCTCTTCCTCCTCCTCCTCCTCCTCCTCCTCCTCCTCCTCCTCCTCCCCCCGCTCCCCCCGGGCCCAGCCCCCACCCTTTCTCCCCCTCCCTTTGCCCAAATCCGTCCCATCGCCCCCCGCCCCCCCAGACCCCTCCCCAGCGCCCCCCAACAAACGGCCCCGGGCCCAGCTGGGAAGCTTTATTGGGAGCGCTGGCAGCGGGCACTGGGCGGGGGCAGAGCGCCAGCGGCGCTGGGGGGGACACGGGACCCCCCCAGAATCAGCGCAGCGGGGACGGAGCGGGGGGTCCCGGCCGGGCCCGAGCCCGCGGGGAGGGGCTGCGGCCGCCGCCGCCTCAGGAGCTCTGTGGGCACAGAAAAGGGGGTGACACCGGGCTGGGGGCCCCGGCGGGAGCGCGCACGGGGCTCCGCCACGGCGGCCACGCCGCCCCCGGCACCCGCCCTCACCTTCTTGCGCACGTAGAAGCCGAGCCCCAGCGCCACGAAGACCGAGCCCAAGACCAAGCCCCCGATGCCCGTCAGCATCTTGCTGCGGCCGGCGTCCGGCGCCATCTCTGGGGGGTCCGCAGGGCTCAGCGCCCCCAAAACCTCTCGCCGACACCCCCAGCCCCTACCAGCGCCCTCCCTGTGGCCCTCGGCCCGTCCAGGACCCCCTGAAACCTCCCCCCGATCCCTTTTGGGCCTCAACAGGAGCCACCAAAGCCCCTCCCGTCCCTCTCAGCATCCCACAGCCCCCTCCCAGTTGCGCCCCAGCGCCCCAGGACCCCCAAACTCCCTCCCAGTCACTCCCAGCACCCCCAAACTCCCTCCCAGTCACACCCAGCGCCCCCAAACTCCCTCCCAGTGCCCACCCAGCACCCCCAAACTCCCTCCCAATCACACCCAGCGCCCCCAAACTCCCTCCCAGTCACACCCAGCACCCCCAAACTCCGTCCCAGTGCCCACCAGCACCCCCCCAACCCCACCCCACCCTCCCCAGCATCCCCCAAACCCCTGCCCAGCCCTTGTCCAGCCCCCAGCCCCTCTCCCACTCCCAGCCCGCCTCTCTCCACCTCCCTCCCAGTGCCTCCCAGCACAGCCCAGCGCCTCTGCCAGCGCCCCCAGGGGCTCCCCCGTACCCCAGTGCCGCTTCAGCGGCTGCTCCAGGCTGACGTGCTCCACCTGGCAGCTGTAGCTCAGCCCGCGCCGGGGCGGCGTTTCCAGCAGCACCAGCAACTGGTAGCTCCAGTCCCCGTTGGCCACCACGTCCGTGGCCACCACGTGCTCCGACAGCTCCTGCTGGCCCTGGAACCACCTCACCTGGATGGCAGCAGGGTAGAAATCCATCACGGAGCAGAGCAGGCGGCCGGGGCCGGGCTGGGAGCTCGAGGCGGGCACCAGCGAGATGGACACGCTGGGGGGCACTGGCAGAGACAGAGAGAGAGAGAGAGAGTGGGGACACAATGGGATCAGCTGGGGGGCACTGGGAGAGAGAGGGGAGGGCTGGGCTGGGACTGGGAATGGAATGGGAGGGACTGGGAATGGACTGGGAGGGACTGGGAGGGACTGGGAATGGGCTGGGAGGGACTGGGATGGCTTTGGCTGGAGCAAGAATGGACTTGGGGTTTACTCCTAATTGATGGAGAGGGGCTGGGAATCTACTGGGGTGCACCAGGGATGGACAGACATTGATTGGGGATGGACGGGGGGGCGGTATGAACTGGTATGAACTGGAAGTGGATGGGGAGGGACTGGTGTGGATTGGGAAGGTCTGGTAGGGATGAGTGGGGATGAGGGGCACTGCAGGGAGGGTGCAGGTCTGGCAATGATCTGGGAATGAACAGGAAATCAACTGGGAATTAGTTTTAAGGGAGTTGGAAGGACTGGGAATATCATTGGGAGGGACTGGGATGGTATGGCAATATACTGGGAGGCACTGGGAATAGACTGGGACAGACTTGGGTGGTACTGAGAGAAGTGGGAGGGGATGGGGGTACTGGGACAGAGGGTGGAGGTCTGGAAATAAACTGGGAATGAACTGGGAATGGATTTGGAGGGTCTGGGTGGGACTGGAGTGGACTGGGAGGGATTGGGAATGAACTGGGATGGACTGGGAGGGACTGGGATTTATTGGGTTGGCTCTGAGAGAGATGGGAAGCAATGGAGGGAACTGTGAAAGAGGGGGGAAGTCTGAGAGTGAACTGGGAATGAACTGGGAACAGACTGGAAACGGACTGGGAGGGACTGGAGAGGAATTGGAGATGGTCTGGGAGGGACTGGGATGGCACTGGGAGGGATTTTGGTGGCACTGGGAGGAACTGGGAATGAAGCGCGCGGCGCTGGG